AATATAAAGACTTTGGCATGTGCAAGCAAAGAGCAAGTGCGACCCACGGAGGCCCCCAGTGCCCCCCCCCGGGACCACCAGTGCCCCCCAGTCCTTCCAACCCTGCACCAGGCACAGAGACCACCCCACAGAAAGTCCATGGCCAGATCCGTGGGTCACAGTGCACTGTGGAGCCCCCATGGAACCCCCGCAGGGTATTTATGAGGCCACCCCACACCATGGGGTGAGGGACCCCCGGGTGAGGCTCCCAAGTACTGTGGGGGCACCTCCATGACCACCTCCATGGAGCACTCCATCCATGGGGTGGTCATGGGGTACCCATTTGATCTCCATGGGGCACCCTACACTACGGACCACCTCAAGGGGCCCATGCATGAGGTCTCCAAGTGCCCCAAGGCACCTCCATGACCACCCCCAGTGGTGCCCCCCATTCAACGGTTCACCCATGGAATGTTCTTGTTGTGGTCCCAGGGTGTCTCCATTGGACCTCTGTGGGGCACCCTACACCATGAGGCACCTCAAGGGTGCCAGATCCCCACGCACGAGGACCCCTAAGCACCATGGACAACCCTGAAGACCACCTCAATGGTGCACCCCATCCAACGGTTCACCCATGGAATGTTCTTGTGATGGTTGCGGGCTCTTCACTGCACCTCTGTGGGGCACCCCACACCAGGAGGCACCTCGAGGGTGCCGGATCCCCATGCAAGGGTGCCCTTCCCCCTCCAAGCACTACGGAGCACCTTGAAGACCACCCCAATGGTGCACCCCCCCCAACGGAATGTTCTTGTGGTGGTTGCAGGGTGTCCGTTGGCCCTCTACGGGTCACCCCGCACCAGGAGGCACCATCGGTGGGGCTGAGAGGTGGGGAGCGGTGGTGGTGGTGGGGGGAAGGGGGCCGTGGTGGCCTCACCCGAAGAGGCGTAGGAAGCAGGGCTGGCAGTAGGGCTTGCCCTCCTGCTCCTGGAAGGTGCCCTTGGAGAGGGGCCGGAGGCAGAAGGCGCAGACGAAGTGCTCGGGGTGGAAGCGTTGGGCCATGGCCGTGATGCAGCGGCCGGCGATGGGCTCCCCACAGCCCCGGCACAGCGAGCCCCGCCGGGCGTGGAAGTGACGCTCGCAGTAGGGGTGGCCCCCGTCCTCAAAGAACATGCCCCCCACGAAGGGCGCGAAGCACTCCTGGGGGAACAGGGAGGTGGGGCGTGAAGGGAGGTGGGACACCATGGGGACATGGGGGACCAGGGGAGGTGGGGATGTGAGATGAGAAGTGCTCCTGGAGGTGGGACACGGGGATGTAGGGACGTCAGGGACCAGGGGAGGTGGGACATGGGGAGATGGGAACATGGGGGACCAGGGGAGGTGGGGATGTGAGATGAGAAGTGCTCCTGGAGGTGGGACACGGGGATGTAGGGACGTCAGGGACCAGGGGAGGTGGGACATGGGGAGATGGGAACATGGGGGACCAGGGGAGGTGGGGATGTGAGATGAGAAGTGCTCCTGGAGGTGGGACACGGGGATGTAGGGACGTCAGGGACCAGGGGAGGTGGGACATGGGGAGATGGGAACATGGGGGACCAGGGGAGGTGGGGATGTGGGATGAGAAGCACTCCTGGAGGTGGGACAAAGGGAGATGGGGACATGGAGGACCAGGGGAGGTGGGACATGGGGGTCTCACCCGGCAGACGAAGCACTCGGGGTGCCAGAGCCCCTCCAGGGCAGCGATGTAGCCCTCCAGGATGGGCCCCCCACAGCCCCGGCACCGGCTGGAGAAGAGCTCAGCGAAGTCCTGGCGGCAGTACTGCTGGCCGTCCTTCTCCAGGAAGCCTGTGGGACAGCACGGGGAGGGTGGGGGGACAGGGGGACACCACGGACGTGGGGACGGTGAGATGTGGGGGTGAGGCTGGGATGGAGAAGGAGAGACGTGGGGATGGTGGTGGGACCACGAGGGGATGGTGAGATGCGGGGGACACAGGAGCACAGGATCAGCCCACAGAGACATGGTGGGACAGGGCAGGGACACGGGGGGACCAGGAGGGGACACAGAGGTGACACCCCCCCTCCTCGCCGAAGGGCTGCCCACACTTGACGCAGCAGAAGTGCTCCGGGTGCCAGTTCTTGTCCAGCGCCGTCACCATTTTCTGGGGGGGCAGGAATTGGAGATTTGGAGATGGGGACATCACTGCCAACCCCCCCACCCCCCTCCCATAGGGGGTCCTACTGCACCCATGGGGGTCCCACCACCCCCAGGGCACCCCACAAGGTCTCACTCCTTCCCACAGGAGATCCCGTGGCCCCCCAGAAGGTCGTGGCTGAGGTGGGGGGCATCGGGGGGGTCCCCGAGCTGGGAGGAGCAGGAAGAGGCTTAAGGGGGGGGGCTCTGT